TGAGGGTACCGGCTATCCCTCCGCCGCCGGGGGGCTGCGCTGAGGTAAAATCTACCCGGCACCCCGCCGTGAAGGGCTGCGCGTTGCTCCAGGGCAGGCAGGGCGCGGTGTGTCCCCTCAGGCCGACCGCCACAGCAGAAGCCAGGCGCGAGGCGTTTCCCGCCTTCCGAGCCACGTCCTCAGGGGCTCCTGCGGGTGCAAGATGGCGGACCTGAAGTTCAGCTGGGGAGGGGGGCTGGTCTCCGTGGTGTATTTCTTCATATTTCTCAACAGGACGCTCCTGGAGTTTTGGGTGAGGCCCAACTCCCTTCTGCCCAGCCTTTCATAGCTGCTGTGCTGCTACCTTTTTTTTTTTCTTCTTTTTTTATCATTATCCTCAACAGTTTTTGATGGCCACGGAGGTGTTTGGAGTGGGAAAAACCCTCTGAAGGCTCTGAAGGTTGTTCTCTTTTCCTCCTTCCCGAAATGCTCTGACACAGGCTGTGGCACATCCGCATAAATTTGTTTCATGCCGTACACTTTGCTCTGAGCCCTTGTAAAAAGAGTTTTCAAAGAGCCACATGGGGCACAGCACGATTTGATTCTTTATAACTTAATGGCATTTGTGACTAAATTAGGCGTGAAGAATTATTTGTAATGCATTGCATTAATTCTATCTGTCTTATAAGCTCATAAGAAAAACAGTTGCCAGGATTGAAGCGATTTGCAAGTGGGCACCTTGATGATGGGGCAGTTTCTGAATGTTTAGCTTGGCCACGTCACCTCATCAGATTCATCTCAAATTGCTTAAAGAGAATTGACAACTCGAAAAAACTAAACCTGCCCTTAGCAAGAGGGCCACTTCTTTATCATTGCTATCATAAATGCGAGAAAGATCGTCGTCCTCCTGCTCTGCTTCATGTTGGATTCCTGATGGTCCTGTCTCATATGCTAAAAAAACAAACCCCATGGAATAAGACCGATGTGACCACACCAGAAAGGGTGACCCAAGATAAGAGGAAGTCTCTGTCTCTTTCAGGTAACTTTTGTCTATTTATTTCTAACCCTTTTAGGTGCTTCCTCAGTTGGGTAAGTGAGACGTGCTTACTGCTCAGTAATTTTTTCAGTCGGGGTAGATGAACTTTAAAAAAGAGTCTCTGAGCCATTTTTACAGTTTCCTGAAAGTCTCAGAGATTAGCCGCAGCACGTATTTGTCCCAGATTTTTTCACAAATTAATATGAAGACATATGAAGACATATTTAACATATGAAGACAATCTGTAAAATCATATATTCCCACGAGGTGAGCTTTTTTATTGTGTTCGCTCTGCTCACTGACTTTTTTGGTGATCCCACAGAAGTCTCTGCTGATTTTACATAGATACAACTGAGGCTTTGGTCACCCATGGCTCTGGAAGGGCTTCCTTTCATGGTTGAGTTCCTGCACTAGTGGAAAGGCACAGGTGAATCCGTGTGGTCTGATGGCTATCTGAAGTTCACGTATTTTTTGGTGGCATTGCACCTTTTCCCTCAAGTCTGTTGTGTCTCTTGCAAAGATAGTGACATAGAGGAATTCTTCAGAGCAGATCCAATCAATCTTAAGAGCAGATCTAAATGGTTATATAACATGGTAAAGGGCTATTATTTGTTTACATAAAAGGCCAAATTTTGTGAATTTTCTGCCCAATATTTGTATTTTGCTGGAAAGCTTGCTTCAGAGATGCCTTTTCTTCAGGATTTTGAGAGATGCCGTTTCTTGAGGACTTTCTTGCTAGATTGAAACAAAATTGCAGGCTACTCTGTTACTTTTGGTTAGTAGTTACTCTGAATTAGCGGGCTCTGCCTGTGAAGCCTCTGGTGCTAACAGTTTCGAACTGCGGACGAAAGGTAAATGGGAGGTAGGGATTGTTGATGAGTTTGTGCTGGTCTTTACATACATATGTATATATAAGTAAATACAAAATCTCTAACAACAGAATATATTTAAGATGACTAGCAAACTTTTTCTTCTTTTATAAAAGCCCAGAGTATACTGGAAATTTGAGAATAGTTTAGGTTGTTGTGATGATAACTTAATTAAGATTGAAAGATTGTTAAAATACTGGTCATTAAAATCCTCTCTAGGATTACTGAGGGACAGATTATATTGCTCCCATATCTTCCTTGCTGAAGATAAAGGGTTTTTACATATCTCTGTTAGATCAAGAGTATAGTGACAACTTCTCTGTTACGAATGCTGTGCAACTGCACCTTACTATAAGTTATGTGATTCTGTACTGTTTTGCAATATCTTCAGTCAACACAAATTTAGTGTAATTATAATGCTCATTTCCTGTAAAGTAGCAGATATCTGAATAATGGATCTGAATTTCCATTAGAATGAGGTCACAAAGCACAAGAGCACTAATAGCAGAGAAAGTGATAGAACCGCATCAGGTAGAATACTCTCACTCTTCAGAATGCAGAGCAGCCACCGACTAATGTGAATACAAAAATTAGTTGTGCTGTGGCAAGAGGTCATTCCATGATGGTGTTCATTGTGCCTTTTCTGCAGATTGTCTATCGATTCCTCTCCTGTTTTGTCTGCAAGTACTCATATTGTGCCTGTGTTGCAGTTGGCAGTGGTGTGCCTCGGTAGGTGTGACATTGAGCTCAGTTTTGACCCCAAACCTCCCTAGAGATTACCTACAGTGGAATGAAAAGCTTTGTGTGGCTCCTTGCTGAGTGAGGAAATGACTGCAGAGTCCACATCTGATATTCTCCAAAACAGACCAGTTCCCAAATTTGCCTTGGAATCATGCTCCCCTCGTGTATTTCTGGCATTTATTGTTTTTGAGTAAGTGAAAACCGGTAACAGCCATGGGCGTACTCTTGCGGTTAGACTGGTGCAAATGCAGAAGCAATGAATTAGTTTTGGGATTGGCTGCTAGGCTTGTGCAGTTGTCTACGGTATTTTGTGAGACTCAGTGCATGAAATGTCTGTAATTGTTCGTGTTTAATCCCTCCCTTTTTTGCTGTGTGGACAGCCTTTGCTAACAGGAGTAGGCAAAAGTGGGATTCTACTTGTATGCATGGCTCTGACAGCAGGATGAGAGTTAGCAGACAGAGTATTACTGTCTATTTAAAAGATTTTAACTATGTGCATAACTTAGTAACAACAAATATTGTAACTGCAAACATTTGCTGAGTCCTTATAACCTCTAAATACAAATTATAATGCATGTCGAAAGAAATCTGAGATTCAAGAAGGAAGATGATTTTTGAAAACCGTACAGAGCAAAACAAAATGTGACAATCACGAGCACCTCACAAAGAATCTTAAGTCTTTCCGTAAGTGCTTTCACAATGTGATGAGACTTCAAAGCTGGCTCTCATGCCTTAGCAGTCAAATTAATTACTTGAAGTGGACTCTTAGGTGGCAAATCTGAATAGACATATTGTTTTAGGTTGTATTTTATATGTTACTGATGATTGCAAAACATAACTGAAAAGCCAGTTTTAAAGTCCTGCATGGAAAAGGAGAAAATATAAGCTGATCATGCAGCAGTTAGGCTGCATAATAGGAGTACTGAGTGTGGAGCCCAAGGAAGGACTGCTGACAGCCAGTACTGAAATTAGACCCGAAACCTTTGAATGTTTTTTTGTACAGCTGGAATAAGTACTGTCCTAAGTGAATGATTTCCTCACTGCAATTTATTTGTGTTCTAAAGCTGATCAGATAAAGAAAAAAAAAGCCAAATTAAGTGATGGATAAACAAGTCTTGGTATGCTATGTGGAATGGGTGGCTGGAGATTCGAGAACAAGTTAAGGGCAAAGTTTATCTTAATGATTTTAAAATAAGGCAAGTAGTTATTATATGGCCGACTTTGGAGAAACGCTTTCGGCAGAAAACCTTTCCATACGGGCTTGAAAACTGTGAGCCTAGAGCCCTCTGGTGTCAGCGTTGGTGTAATATACATTAATTATCTGCACTAGTAGAGTTCACTGTATTCTGACCTGTGTCAATGAAGAGCTACCAAGCCCAAGTCCTTTCATTTGCCCTTTCATGCCCAAATCATGTTGTTCCTCATTCTCCTTTTCTTAAATTGAGGGTTCCCATTTGTTCTTTCCCAGCAGTGGGACTGTATCAGTAGCCCTCAGCTACAGGTTCTGCATGCCTCCATGGTGTGCCTTGGCTTGTTTCCCTTCCTTGTTTCCTTGCCTCTTACCTCCCCTTGCCAGGACCAAAGTCTGTCCATTCTTTTGCTTCTCTTTCTTTATTTTCTTTTTTTTTGTTATGCCATCAAACTCTAGGTTGATTTGCGCCTCTGCTATCCATCATTATCACTTCTCAGTCTTCCCGTGTGCCACATATTATGCGTCTCTTATTCTTTTCTTCCTCAGCATATTGGGTTTTCCTCTTTCGGTAGGTTGTATGAAGTGGCTGGTGGCACAGACTTAACGTACAGAGTTTTCCAGGGATGAAGGCAGCTGCTGGGATACTGAGATACAGGCTTTGCATGGAAAAACAACCAATGATCTTGAAGCAACGTGCAGGGAATCTACTATTTCAGTGAGTTAACTGTGGACAAGGAGCTGCTGTGGACCAGAGAAGTGTGTGATAATTGATTTTATATTATAGACAATCTCTTTTTCCTTTCTGCAGAATATGTGGGAGAAGAATGATTTCGTATCTTGCCTGACAAGGCCAGAGAACCTGTCCCTCACTGAACCACTCATGAGTTCAGGAGTAGTACTGCATTGCGAAGGCTGGTGGGTTAGGTGGAAAGAAGGGAACAGGACAGTATGTCACCTGAGGCCTCTCTGGGAAGAGCCTAAGGGCTGGGAATGAAAATAGAGCAAAATAACAAGTTGTCAGCGGGAAGCTGGGAGGAGGTAGGGATTTTTGCCAGCAGGAGGTGCAATGTTACTAGCGATCCCCGGGAGAGAACTCGGTGCTCTCTTTTGAAGTGGGGGGCAAGTGTATGGGTTGTTATTGGTCTGTGAAAGAAAAATAGGTGAGAAAGCAGCCTAAGCTGCTGCAGGGCACCTGCAGAAAGCCAATGCTGTTCCCCTGTTACTCCCTCTACTGAGGCTAGGAGAAAGGTCAGCGCCTTTAATTTTTTACTGTTCCTCCTGCCCATCCCAGGGCAGTCAGTTGTAAATTGTGTAAAACATGTAGCTTGGTGTTACACAATCTGCAGTCAGATCTGTGGTGGCTGGTTTAACATATAGTGTAACTAAAGCTGCATGGTAACCTGTCCAAACTCGTAGATTTACAGCAGTGCGATTTCAGGTTTGAGATTTATGTATGTTGCAGTGGGCTCTGAAATATGAGACCAACTGGTCTGGAATACTTTGGATAGTTTCCATCTGTCAGGTAAAGAGCTTTCAGAGCTACAAAACAGGTGCAGACTCAAAGATATTCTTGCTCAGCGGAAACACGCTAATTGACAGCATCTGCAGTGGTGTGCCTGGAAAACTTTCAGTATTTGCTTTTGAGTGCCTTTCCTTCAAAGCACTATCAAAGGCTTAGGTACCGCAGTCTAGACTGACTTTTGACTTGGAGCTACTGAGAAATGGCTGTAGTAGGATGGGAAGCAAATATTTTTATGCAGAGGGATATATTTTATGCGAGAGATTCAATGAAGAGCCAGAGGGGACATGCCGTAAAATGCTTGAAATTTATTAATCATGTTTTTTTTTTATATAAGGAACAAAAATAAAACAGGATTCCGAAACAAAATGAAGAAAATATACCATACCCAGTTAACACGACTAAGACAAAGAAGTGGGATAACATTAATTATGAAAAAATGACCCAATAAATCAATTTTCCAAAAACAAAATAAATAGCAATGGTTCAACTTTTAAGGGCTTCCTAGGAGAGCATGTACATATATTATTATTACTATTATTATTATTATTCACTTTTGTTTACAAAAAATCCTTCATATGCCCCTGTTGGCAAAAATATATATATATATACCTCTGTAAACAGTTAACCACAGACAAAAAAAAAAATCCCGTATTTTCATACAGTTACTATGCTGATGGTGTTATGTAAACAAAGAGTAGTGTGCAGCAGCTTCTCATGTTAGGATTTCTTTCTTTTTCTCATGAGAATATGTAGGAACATGCCCTAAATTGTTCAAAACATTGAGGTTTATAGTTTTGAAAAAGGTATGGCTTTCTGCAGTCTAAGTGTTCCTTAATGCAAAAAGAAAAATAAAAGAAACAGAGAGGTCCAGCTTTGTTTGTTTGTTTTCGGGACTTGAGCTTTTGATTTGTCACATTTGTTGTTATAAAAAAGGTCAGTCTATGCCAGTGGAAATATTAGATATTGTCAAGTGTCTGCATCAGCCACCACAGGCAAGCTTCAAGCCAGAAAATACTGTTGTTGTCTTAATAGGCTTTGTGCAGGTGTTAATCCAGCTCTCAGCGCTTCTCAGAAGACAAACAAACTAACAGAAAATGTCAGAATGACCTTTTGCTGTACCTCTCAAGGTGTAAAAGAAAAGGCATGAAGAACAATGGGAGATACAGTGATAATGAAAATGGAAATCATGTAGACAGACATACTGAGTTTGTATGCAGGAAATACAATCTCATCCAAAACTTTAGCTGCTTTTGTCACTTTTGTATTTTTTCAAGTGGTGGGGTTTTTTTGTTTGGTTTTTTTTTTAAATTTTTTTAGTCCTATGTTCAACTCCTCATTGACTTCTTCCCTCTAGTTCTGATTTTTGACTTTCACTTGTTCCTTAGAGGTCTTTATTAGGTTCGCGCCTTCTTCCAGGTCTCGGAGAACGCACTCAGCGGGCGAGCAGCTGCATTGCTCCACGTAGGTGTACGCGTGATCAAGGTAGGTTCCGTCACTGCACGTCAGAGTCACCTTTCTTTGGCTGACCTTGGTCTCCTGACAGCATGAGCATTTATGTTCCATTGTGTTTGCCTCCAGAGAATATCTGCAAAACCAACAAAAGAGAAATATTCAGAAATTATGTGAGAAATACCACTGCCTCTCCCACCCATTACCAGAAATTATGAGATTGCATGTGGGATTATAGTTCAATAGTACCATTCTTACAGTACTGTGGTGAAATATAAGTAAGTTGTTCCTCACTGTAAAAATGGATATATCTAACTCTTCATTAAGGCACACAAAAAGTAGAGAAATTAATCCAGATCACAGTCCAAAATGAGAGAATAGTGAGAAAAAAATAACCTCACTTTCATGTGGGCAAAATCAAAATTTGGTTATATTCACTATGACACTGAACAGTCTTGAGGTAATTAAGCTAGCACAACATTATATCTGTTAAAAATTCTAGTTAGTACAACAGTTGTTGGAAACAGGTGATGGCTGGGCGGATGCTGGACATATGAGTAAATCAGCTGATGTTTGCTTTGTGTAACTAGAGACTGCAAGTATCTTTTATGCCACTTACCGTGAGTAAGCATCGCATCTACCTTCGCAGTATGACAACTCAACGGGTGCAGGTGATACACATCCAGCATATTCGATGACGGTAATATTACGGTGCTTCAGACAAGCTGTAGATGTCACAAACCAAGGGAAAATAAGTTAAAATATACGTGCATATAAATAGATGTCTGGGTATGATAGACAGTCTGTAGTTGAAAACTGAGATGAGTGGAGCTGAAATAGGGAATTAGGTCACAGTGCATTTCTGTTTTAATTGCTGAGGGCCAAATAATCGCTTTCTACTGGTGTTATCAATGAATGAAAAAAAAAATCCCTTTTGTTCATGTAACTCTGCTACGGGATGTAGAAATAAAGAGCAGTACTGTGGTAACCGCTCAGTGCACACCCACCTCGCAGGCTTGGCCTTAATTTCTTCCGTAAAGGGAATGTGTCTCTGAAAGTTGGAGAATAGTCGTAGTCCTCTCCCTCCCACAAAAAGACTAACGTTTAACAGTAGGGGATGGGAAAGTTCACCATATTCATGGAGACATTCTGTTCCTTTCTTTTTCCACCTGTTTCCTTTCTCAACTCAGTGTGAGGCAGTGGTCCCAAACCTGGTCTGTTCACCTCTTCTGTCTATGCATCTACTGTGCAAGATGGAATAATATGACTAATAAGGCACTTAATGTCATTACTTACCTGTGCTGCACACTTTACAGCAGCCATCTTCAGAGAGCACGATGTCATCCTTGTGTGGGAAAACAGAAAAAGATCACTCAGGTTTCCTCTCTGCATACTAAAGCAGAGGCTTTCCCTGCTTCCTAAGTTTCTCTGGCACCAGAAAGTTGTTGTGTTTTGTGGGTTTTTTTAATATTGACATGGAATCTAATTTCAAGAAAGGCTAAATATTAAGAGCAAGTAACTACTTCAGTATTAATAAGAGTTCTTTGAAAGCTGACTTTGAGGGGGACTGGAACTGTTTTGCTGAGATCCAAGTTCAGTAGTAAAATTTCAGAAATAAAGCTTGCAGGGATATTTTGAGTGACCACAGTCAGTACAGGTGAAGGATTGTGTTAGACCTGGTAACACAAATCATGAAAGAACTGACTCCCTGGATGTATGGGGTTGTATTAAATCATATGACATTGTGAACTGAAGTAGTTTATTTTCTTTCACCTTGGCTCTCATTAATGGAATTGTAACAAAGAATTTGTAATCTTAAACAGTTTAAGATTACATCATTTTCCCATACAATTCTTGATTTTTGGTCACCTGGCACTTTTAGGAACCCAAAACATTACGCTATACCATTTTCTCTAGTGCCCTGTCCTCAAGGAGGATTGAGAAATCACCCATTTTCATTTTTATTTGCTGTTCCAAAATGAAATTTGATGGGAATCGGATTCAGAGAGTATAAAATGAGGGCTACATCCTGTGTGATTCTTCTGCCAGGTGTTATCCTTGGACACCACGATCCTCTATCACTGGCATTAGCTACTGCAATCTTTTCAAACATGAGAACTGGGAGAGGAGTACTTACGGGATTGCAGTCAGGGTTAATGGCAGGACAGCTTTTCTTTAGGGCGACTTGAATGTACTGGTTACCATGCTTTTCACATGTGTAAGTTGTACAGTTATCACCAGGTGGGTGCCAGAATTCTCCAACCTGAAAGCAGTTAAAATGGAAATGAATAGAAACCTTTTTGATAAAAATGAAGGCATAAAACCCCTCCAACATCTTATCATTGCTGCCCACTGCAGTTTGATAATTTCAAACGATTTCCTTGAATTTCAGCTGATAGTTACTTGTCATATTGTCATACCACTGTAAATCTTTTTCATTAACCAAGTGAAGAGGCTGTGGTTTTTATCTGGTTATGGACATGCCTTTTGTGTGAATAGGCTAAGTATGTGGATGCTTGTTGTGTGAACAGGATGAATTTGAGGACGCATTTGGAATGACTAATTTGTCTTTCAGTGGTTTTGTCATCAGAGTCTATGTCTATGTCCATTCAGACACGTGGCAGAATTTCTACTGACTTCACTGACTCATCCTGCCCTAAAGCTCTTGGCTAACTTGAAGTGGCTGCTTGAAGCAGAAAACTGCTTCCGTAGATGAAATTATCCTTTGAGCAAAATGATCTCTGTATTTTCAGAGCTGAAGGCAAATAAGGGGCCTCGACTTTCTCCTGCGTGACTTTCTGTGTTGATTTCTGAAAGCCATTGTTCAGTAGCACAATTACTTCCAGAAGTCTTAGTCAGAACTGGAGTTTCATGACTCAAGGTGCTGTTCAAGCTGTATTAGACAGTCCCTTCCCTGCCAGAATAAGCGTTTATCTGACATGAGAAAATGTGCGGCAAATAAATATGACAAAGATAAGGAGAGGAAACAGTGAGAAGACTAGCAGAGTTCACCAGAAGAGAACTAAACTGGGGATAGTTACGTGGAGCACGTGTGTACTGTTGTCTCCCACGGTGACTACGCAAGCCGGCGCCTCGCATGTTCCACAGCACCGTCCAGGTACCTTTGTGTAATGATAACCCTGTTTTGAAAGAAGTGAAGAGGAAATGGCATTGAGGACACTGACTTTAACTGGTGGATGTTAGAACTGGCTGACAGCAAAACGGCACTCACCACTGGGCAGTACGTGTCACAGGTAACAGGCTTGCACTTGATGGTAGCGTGAGACATTGAAGAGGATTTGGAGCAGATGCATTCTTCACATGGCTGTGATGGAATGATAGCTCCAGGCTAGGGGAAATCAGAAAAAAAAGTTATTATTAGTTGGTAAAAGCAAGTTACTTTGTGCATGTACATCACAGACAGTACAGAGCTGAGCAATGTCTGGGCTAAGCTATCCTTAAATACAATTTTGGTTGTTTTATTTAAGAAGAGTTTCTGTTGTTGGTAATATCTATTGTGGAATTAAATTCTGCTAAAGCAGAAAGGAGAGCAGAAAATTCTTTTGCTTATAGGGAGAGTTTTGTTATGCTGACCTTGGTTAAACAATTGATAATATTTTATCTTGGGCCTTTCCACAAAATACGGTCCATGACAGGAGTCTCAAAAACATTGATTGTGAACCTACTTGAATGTGTTTTTTAATAGTGGGTTACTTTGTGTACTTACTGGATACAAGGTTTCATTGACTGCACAGCCCTCTCCTGTAAAGAAGAAAGGAAGATGGTGTCATAGAGGTATAAGTTTTAAAAAACAGAAGTAGGTGTGAAAATCTGCTGCTTGGTTGGCCCGGTATGATGACATAGATAATTTTCATCTTTCTCCCTTCAGGTTTTTGTTGTCATAAAAAAATTGCTGGGAATACCAGGTGCAGAAGGTGCGTAGTACTTACTGCATCTATAGGTAGGGCAGCACTTGCCAGGCTGCAGCGTTGTGATGATCTCCTGGCCGGGTGCACATGACGGTGTGGGCTCGGGGCAGAGACTGGTGTTGCAGTCTGGTTCATGTAAGAGAACACAGAAAATAGTGAACTCAGGATTTTTAAGTGAAAGTAATTCAGTTTCCCATGACCTTCACTTCCCATAGGGTGAGTGTGGTGGTGTTTACACAAGCTCGTTTAAGGGCTATGTCAGTATGTTTGCTCAGCTATTTTCAAAGGGAATGGGCTTTTCCATAACCTTTGTAAAACAAAGCATTGTCTGAGAGGAATAGAATGGCGATTGCTGGAAAGCGATACTTCAAAAGAGAAATTTGTACTAATTGGGAAATGGGATGACTCTCAGAGGTTCAGAAATTTTCTTGAACGATTTTTAAATGCTCAAGACATTTGTTTTTTGAAGTTAAGATTTTTTTTTATACTGCTCTTTGAAATGCTTTGAATTGTTTTTGAATATTATTCCAGGTGGTGGCAGCATTAAAGGTTTTCAATTACAGGAGATCTCCAGATACTCTTCTAGGTCTGACTATGTAAAATCTTTTCATCTTTAAATTTATTCTCTTCAGGCATCTAGTAAATTCTCTACAAGAAGGTACTAAGTGGGATAAGGGAGAAAAGCATATGAAGTATTTAAGAAATGAGAAATTACTGCTGTAGTTCCCAAGACGAATATAGTATATTATTCATAGGATCATAGAATGGCATAAGCTGGAAGGGACCTTAGAGATCATCTAGTCCAACCTCCCTGTATTCCTCATGATAAAGAACTAAGACAGTACTTACAGCACTTAATCCTGGAACAGCAGGGATTTTCTGGTGTCGGTATCAGAACAGACATCTGACCTGGTTCATTACAAGATTCTTCTTGGTCTGGCAGAGGACATTTGTGTTTTGTGCACTGTATTGTAAGAGTATTTTTGTCACAGACACAGTCCTGGCACTGTGTTGTCCATTTTTCTCCTGGCTATATAAAAAAAACAAAAGGAGAAAAAAATATTATATAGAAGTTCAAACAAAAATCATTCTGTTAGTTTCTAGTTGAGTTATTAAGGGGTACATTGATAACTGATTGCATCTGCCCTTTCATATTTCTAGTATTTTTAGTGGCTGAAGGCCACTGAAGACTGAGCGTGTTCACACACCTGTCACTTTCTGTTTATTAGTAGTATTAGTATGAGGGATACAAGAGGTCTAAAGGAGTGATTGATCTTTGCATGCATTTTTGAATAAGAAATATTATATGACATGCTCATTTGTACCTTAGGTTACAGAGAGAAATTTCTGTAATTTGTATATAGCTAAGAAACTAAGAATGCAGGCTATCAACATTATACGCAACAGGTAAGCTTTGTTATCTATCTGTCCCTTCATCTCTACTAACTCTGTTGAGCCAAGTTTGTGGCAATAAAAGGAGCACATATGCCACCAACATTATATGCAACAGGTAAGCTTTGTTATCCATCTGTCCCTTCATCTCTAGTAAATTCATTGAGCCAAATTTGTGGAAATAAAAGAAGCACATATGCCACAGTTCCACTGCAACCCTAAATTTCTTAGGGAGTAATGTGGTATCTGCTCTAGCACTCATAATTCTTTTTAAGACTAAAAGGGAATGAACGTTTGAAAAAAAATCCCAAGTCTCCCCCAACCTAATAAAAATTTTGTCTTGCCTCACTCGTCTGTGCTTGATAAAAAATACTGACTGTGGTACTCACCATTCTGGATATTCCGTTTGATTCCCTACAGGCTGCAAAGAAAAAAGACAGAAATGGAGATTTAAACCACTGAAAACTCGCATAAAGGAGTAAATTTGTGCAGTTTCAAATACAAATATTTCGAAGATAAAAGTAACAAGAAAATGAATACAAAGACTAATAGTATTCTGGCATCTTGGTAAGTCTCATGTAAAGAAGGAAGGTGGAAAAAAGGTAATATTGTTTATCACTCAATTTTCAGATGGAGAGACTAAAGGAGCTTGAAGAGGCCGACTTACTCATGATCTGACCACGTGGAAGATGACAGTAGAGTATAGGCTTCCTGACTATCAATTCCCCAAAGAAGCTAGAGATTACTTACTGCATTCACGGACACAGATCTTGCTGTCTATACTCAAGAGTGTCTTTCCTTCAGGACAGAAGCATCCTTCGGTTACTCCATAGCCAGGGATCTCGACCGCACTAGAGTGGGAGGAATGCATGTATTTGAGTAACATGGTTTTGCAGTGAAGCAGGCAAGAGCGAGGAGAAGATGTAGAAAGTTGCCAAGTCAGTTACAAGGGAGATAAAAGAATTTATATTTTCTGAAGTGCAACCCAATGTGCATATTCATAGAGCTGACTGATATTTATACATCTTGAATAAATAATCCAAATTCACAAGATATTTTGTTATGAAGTAACTCCATTTTCTAAGGAAGATAGATACATAAAGTTAGGGGGTTTTTGTCTTTCCATACCTTTTGTCACAGGTAGCAGGATTAATGGGCCCACATGGCTTGTATACCGTGCTTGCTGGACAGTGGTATGCTGTATGGAAAAAGAAGAAAAAAGATCAAAAATTGACAGTAGATGCATGTTTGCAGCAAGAGGGACTACAGCTTTGCCTTCTTCATCTGCAGCTTCTCTGAGTAAGGATGTTGCTGTATTTTTGTAGACAGTAGTCAAGTATTAGATGTAAGATGTGCTCAGTGAATCAAACACTAATTACTACAATTTCTCACACACATTTTTGAGTTCTGCAATACTTACAGCATGTATCATTGGTCATTCTTCTCCAGTCAATGCAGACACCTCTAGCAGCACACTCGGTAGCGTATATCTCCAGACTGCTACACTGCATGCTTTTATTGGCTATGCGGCACCCATCAAAAACACAGCCTTGGAAAAATGGTTCCGGTGGTATCACGCCATGGCAGTCTGCAAAAGTCCTGCGGACAGGAAAGAAACCAACCCCCTTTTGTGTTAGCTGCTCATTATATAAAATCTCTTCCTGTCAGACAGCACCTCCTAGTTGACGGCATGTGAATCTGCTTCATGAAGGACTCTGCTTCAGGAAACAAAACCAAAAGAATGGCCAGTGATCTGGGAGACTGATTCAGGAAAGGAAAGTTTAGGAAGTTTGAAGCTTCTTTTCTTTTTTTTTCTAACGAGGCTAATGGTCATAGTGTTTCTATATGTGTACACAACTTCTCATTACTCTGGCACCAGAAATCTTGTAAAAGGCAACTGCATCATGTTGAGGAAAAAGGTAGCCGAGAGAGAGCAAAACTGCACATAGAGCAGCTTATAACTTACTGGACACTGCAAGAAGCAGAGGGCTCTCTGAAAAGCCTTTTTCTCAGAGCTCACACAAATATAGAAAATACTGCAGGAAACAAGCCTTTGTGCTTCATTTTCTGACCTCCCCTCTCCTTGCTCGCTTATCTTTGGCTTGCAGGTCACTAAAGAAGAGCAGTTTCTTTTTCAAAGGCCTTTTAATATATGTATCCTATCATTAAGCTGATATTTTCAGCTGTTGTCACATGCTAGAGCTATAGTTGTTACTCTTCTTGTAAGATACGAAGACAATTTTGTCTAGAAAGAGTGAATTAATTCAGTTTTTCTCTTACTTGCTCAAGATAAGCTTGCAGAGTGGAGGTGTTTCACAGTGAGGCCTTGGTGGAGGTGTGGTTACAGGATGTGGTAGTGGTACTCCATGGCATGTCTGGTTGTTATCAACGATCCAGTGATGAGCCATTTCGGGACAGGAAGAAATGATCTTACCACTTGGTAAGCGGCATTCGTCTGCTTTGTTGTTTGTACATGTTCCTGGAAAAGACAAGCTGTGTAAGTCTCATAAGCCACATCAGAGATGCACAATACGTTATAGTGCTGATATCCCATTTAGACGTGATGTGCCGATGAAATGTGTAACGTGCCTTAGTTCGTAAGGAATGCTTTCTTTGCAGTTATGTGAACTTTAATTTAGGTTAGGGAAAGACAAACAAACCTAAAGCCCCAGCCCCAGGAAAAAAAAACACCAAACAAAACAAACAAAAACCAGGTTGCTGAAATATTGAGCTTTTGATCCTACAGAATCATAGAATTATACAATTGTTTAGGTTGGAAAAGACCTTTAAGACCATTGAGTCCAACCATTAACATAACACTGCCAAGCCCACCACTGAACCATGTGCCTGAGCACCACATCTACACATCTTTTAAATCTCTCCAGAGATGATGACTCCAGCACTTTCCTGAGAAGCCTGTTACAGTGCTTGACAACTCGTTCTGTGAAGAAATTTTTCCTAATATCCAGTCTACACCTAAGATTAAACCAGCAGACCTAGTTTAATTTCATTTCAGTGCTGTTTAAAAATTTCTGTCAGTCGTGACACTGCATAGCCAGCGTGGGTGAAAATAACCACAGCTGGCTGCAGGAAGAGTCCTGCCTCTAATTAGTGCATCTGTCTTACCACACTGTCCTTCGGTGTTGTTGCCAAATTTGTCGAATGGCAGTTTCACGGAGAAAATCAGCCCACTGAAGGTGATGGTTGCACCAATCTCTGGTATTTCCACAATCATGTTGATGCCAAGCATGGAGAAAGATATGCCATCTTTTTTGAATCCTGGATGGACAATCTCGTTGTTGAAGTACATCTGCATGAAGAGTTAAAAAACAACAACACATCTTCAGAATAAGCACTGCTTCTGCCTGATTGTTTTAAATAATGTAGTTTCTAATCTTTGTAATCATGCATAATTCCATATTGTTGTGCATCCCATTCAATGACCATTGGCGTCGCAGTATCAGCATATATATATCTTGTATTGCTATGGTGCTACAGTGTGAGAATAATCTAAGTGGCCTCTATGTACTGTTTTTGTGCAGATTGTGTGCTAATACAGCCTTCTAAATCAAAGTATTTTTTTGGTATCCCTCATTATTTTGATTATCGGAAATATTTGTTGTAGGAGAATGAGTGGTAGTTTTCTTTAACTACAGAGATATTCCTACCATTATTATGTAATCACTGCAAAACTGCACCGTCCAACTACATGTTGCTTGGCAGTGGAAGATTTACCCAAAATCAAAGTGAAGTCAAATGTCCCTGGTGCCAGTTTTTGTAGCAGTCACGTTTATTCATTAATCTTAGCCATCCCATTTGCAACCCATATCTTATATGAGCTAACAAAAGTGGGCATATTTGCTTAATAACTTTTTTGTCAGAAATTGTTCTGCAACTTTCATATTGAATGGGGATAAAGGAAGAGTTAAAACTGCAGGTTACTGTTTTCTTTCATAGGGAACCACTGGACTAACTGTTTCAGCATACCTTTCTGACTGCAGGTAAGGTGAATGTGGCATGGCTCTGTAGCAGCAGAGACAAATTTTTCCTCCCGCTTCTTTGTGTTCTCTAATCAGCTAATGAATTCCCCAGTGTAACAGTGGGACTGGCTTTTCGTTTCACTGGATTTTCAGCACTAGTTTAGGATCATGAAGGTGAAGTGACACTCCCAGTCATTCTTGTGATTTGCATTTGTGTTTCTTCATGATGTGTTTGTTTGTGTAAGTGGATGACACAAGGTAGTAGTTTTCATGAAACATGAATCATGCAGCAGTGTTGACATTCTTTCTGTCTTCTCTATCAGCTATATTAGTGTTCTTCCTCCTGTAATTTATATATACACATACGTGCGCCTAATATATTCACATCTGCGTGGTGCTAAGCTGTTTCTGACATTTTGTTCTTATAAACTGGTGTAATTTTTTTTTTTCTCCCTAATGAGGCCCTCTGCTCTCATCACCTCCATGACGTGACATTCTAACACACCATATTTCAAATGAGAAGCAGTAAGACCTATGGACCTTCTTTCTTATTTTTTGCAAAAGCAGAGAAATGAAAAAAAAAGTGTATTTTACCACATTGGTCATCACACCATTCAGGAGTTCACGAGTCAGCACCACTTTTGCAGATTTGTAGAAAATAATAATGGATTTAGGGCAGGAAAGTCCATCTACTGAATCGCAGTAATAATTGTCAACGTAAACACGGAAGTTGTCGTATTTAGGTACAATCTGTTTCACCAGGACGTAAGTGCAGTTTTCAAGGAAAGTATAGTAGGTTCCATCGAAAGTGATGTAATGAGGATCACCCCATCCACTGCACACACCTGGAAGAGAGAAATGTTTGGAAGATTAACATAAGAATTAATGCAGAATGAATTTAGCAACTGAAGTGAATACACGACAATTTATAGAGCAACTCAAGCAAAACAAAATGCCTGTATAATCTGTTCAAAGTTTTGCTTTTTTCAGAAGGGTTATTTCTAGTCTACTGGTGCTTACATTGACACTCATAGTGATAACAGCAGCCATCTTTATCAGGTACCAGTATTGGTGGATATTTGTTCGCACAGGTGATTTCCTTTACAGGTGGGCAGTGAATTGATTGTATGTCTGTCTTGTGGTTTCCCTTACAGATGACTTCTGTACAGTTGGATAATTTGAATTTTTGTCCAGGCTGCAAAATGAACAAAACCTGCTGTCAGTGGAATTTGCAAACAGACATGAAATTTACCCATATTTTTAGTTTGATGGTGTATTGTTTCCAGTAAAGATGGTGCTAGAAAGGAAATTAATGTGTTATTTCAGTTTGTGGTACTAATAATTTGTAATGTTGACCAGAGGCATTCATAATTCTGACCATGACAGGAGGATCAGAAACTATTTTGTTTTTCAAACCTGAAGCAAGAACGAAAATGAAAATTTTCAGTGATACTGTAGGTTGTCAATATTATGCACAATATTTTTTTATGCTAACAGGAGGTGGGAACCTTGTCTCCAGCTATCTCTTCTACATGAGGAGCTCTTCTGACATTTAGGGGAACAGGTGTCAGGGTAAAGGAAATTATGTCCTTTATAGGAGCTATGTATACTGTACTTCACTATAAGAACAGATAAAAACATAAAATATAAAAACATAAAAAAGAATGTATACAGAAGTACAGGTAAGATGGCAGGAGAACTGAAGCAGATGCAAAACTGCACAAGAAAACTCTCTATTTGGTAGAAGTTTTCTTATTTAGTGCGGTGCATCAGAAAGACTAGCAGTGAAGTCGTTAGAAAAGATTATTGTAGCTTGCTTTATCAGTGTGAAAAAAATTAGAACGAAGGCACATCTTTTATGTCACGTAAAGTGACCATCAGTAGCAACATTATGCTGGCAATCTGCACATGTAAGGTTTAAAGATAGCAAACTGTCCCTTTATGGTATTAACCTCACAATGACATTACTTAAAGAATCATAACGTAACACAGAAAGTACGCACCTGTAGGGGAGGGTAGTTAGGAGAAACACAACCAGGAGGAGGAACATATGGAGGAGTGGTAGTGAGGGAAAATGGTGGTGTGACCGTAGTTGACACAGGGGAAGTAGTGGTTATAGGAGTAGTAACATTACAATCTACAACGTGTCGTTCAACCGTACATGTTGTGCTACAGATGGCGGAAATTTTACATCCATCACTATACACTTTATGGTACATCACATCACCTGAAGAAAAAAAAGAAAATTAAGTGAGAATTTAAAAAATAATACAAGATTAAAAAAAGGCCTGAAAAAAGTCCCAGGTAAACCAAGTTGATATACTGAAGTGAAACTAACCAGGTGAAAAAACATTTTCTCCAACTTTACAAAAGCATGGTGTTGATATAGGACTAGTAGTAGTGAAGGTTGAGCTGCTGGTGCTGATACTGGTTGGTACAGTCGTGGCAGTAGACTTAGTGCTGGTGGATGACACGAAGGGTGTGTATGTGGTGGGTGTGGGACTGGGAACAGTGGTAGTCAAGGGGGTGCTGGGTGGGCACCGCTCGTTAGGCCTGCAGCA